CTCGGTAGCTTTAAACAGCTCAATCACCTTCAATCTAATGAATCTTTAATTTGTTTTCTTACTATTAAAGGAAAATGACTCATCAGGTGGGAGATTTTGATTCACGAGTCTGCATATAAAACTGTCTCTTGGTACTGAACATAGTGTAAACATTGCTGTTCCCTTTAAAAATAATTTCTTATAATAATCATCAAAACACTGCGATGTTGTTACCACAAATTGAAGTTTTAGGTTATTTCTGTAGAGCGCCGTGATATTTTTCATAAAGATCTGGAATAACACTACCCTTAATTACAAACATAGTGTGAAACAACATGAAGACTATGAAAAATTACGTTTCCTTTTCGGTTCCGTCGCTATATTTTTCTTCATTTTTCTAGGAAGAAATCTGCATTTAATTGAATGCACAGGGATTGTGGGGAGGGGGGCAGATATTTCCAGAGGCTGCTGCAAGGCTCTGGCATGGATGCAGTTCAGACATTGAAACCCCCCCCAAAGGAAAGGGCAATTCAGAGCTTCTCATTGAGTCCTCTCAAGGTTTCAGTGGGTTTGAGGTACCCTGATGGACTCAATGGACACAGCAAGATGTAAGGCTGACTGTAGTGACACCAAAAGGGTGAAGGGGAGGTGGCTGTTCCCTGGGACCAGATAGAAGAAGATAGTTCCAAGCCTCACCTCTGTGTCCAAACATGGGAAAATTAAGTTTTCAGTCTGTACATACAAATATACCCATCCTAAGGTTGCCATGTAGCCTTATAAACAAGTAGTAGCAGCTTGAGGTGGGGGGATTCTGCCTCTCTGCTCTGCTCTTGTAAGATCCCACCTGGAGCACAGTGTCCACCTCTGGAGTCCTCAGCACAGGAAGGACATGGAGCTGTTGAAACAGGTCCAGAGGAGGCCACGGAGATGCTGGGAGGGCTGGAGCCCCTCTGCTGGGAGGACAGGCTGGGAGAGTTGGGGGGGTTCAGCCTGGAGAAGAGAAGGGGTTCAGCCTGGAGAAGAGAAGGCTCAGAGGTGACCTTGGAGCTGCCTTTGAGCATCTGAAAGGGGGCGTTACAAGCAAGCTGGGGAAGAACTTTTACAAGGGTTTGTAGTGGAAGGACATGGAGCTGTTGGAGCGGGGCCAGAGGAGGCCCCGGAGATGCTGGGAGGGCTGGAGCCCCTCTGCTGGGAGGGGGGGCTGAGAGAGTTGGGGGGGTTCAGCCTGGAGAAGAGAAGGCTCCAGGGAGACCTTGGAGCCCCTTCCAGTCCCTCAAGGGGCTCCAGGAGAGATGGGGAGGGACTCTGGATGAGGGAGGGGAGCCCTAGGAGGAGGGGGAAGGGTTTGACCCTGCAAGAGGGGAGATGGAGCTGAGATGTGGGGAAGAACTTGTTTGGTGTGAGGGTGGTGAGAGCCTGGCCCAGGTTGGCCAGAGAAGCTGTGGCTGCCCCATCCCTGGAGGGGTTCAAGGGCAGGTTGGAGGGGGCTTGGAGCAACCTGGTGTGGTGGGAGGTGTCCCTGCCCAGGGCAGGGCCGGGGACTGGATGGGCTTTAAGGTCCCTTCCAACCCGAACTATTCCAAGAATCTACGATCTTTTAAGATTAACCTTTAAATTTTTCCACAAACCACAACCAAAAAGGAAGAGGAGAAATACCTCAAAGCAAACGATACAAGGCTTATTTTGTTGTTTATCATTCCAAAAGGAGGACAATCTTTAGTCTCTGAGATTCCTCTTCTACGTGCGTCTATTCTTCCCCCAACTAATATTGGACATCTAGCAAAATATTAGCAATTCCATCATGGTACACCATGATAAATATATGTCCTCTGCTGTTTAACATTTGATTTTAAAAGATGTGAAGACTTTCAAATAGCATTTGCATAGGGCTCTGTTTAATTTTAAAGCTTGTGATGCAGTCACCCACAGTGATTCCAGTATTGTGATCACGTCAAAGTTCCTTTTCATCCTGTTCTGCTCCAGTAGCCAGGAGGATGATCCCTAATTCAGGATTATTTACATAATGTCTGTTGCAATGACAGATAAGATAGAAGAAAAAAAAAAATAAATCCATCTTTTCATTTTAAAGCACTGCCTTTTGTTATTTACCTATAGTACAGTGGGGAGAGAACAGCACAAACTGTACCAGAGAAGCAGAAAAGTACACAGAATAATTCCAAAACAAATTTAGTTGATTAAATGCAGTACATTAAACCCAGGCATTTAAATGTCAACGTTTGAGTATCGTTAGTGAAGGGCCCTGCTATTGATCTTTGCTTGGACAACTGTCTACTGAATCCACTGGACTTCAATTCAGCAAAAGTGTAGCCTAATGAATTTCAAGTAATAATTGCTGTACAAGGTAATTGCAAAATTTGCATAGCAAAGCTCCTCTGAGAGAAATTTATGAGTTTTCTACATCAATCTGAATGTGCAAAGCCTTGCAATTCAGCATGATGTGAGTTATTAACCTCAGTTGAATAAGGAAGGAACAAAATACTAGATTTGGTTTAACCTCTGCAGCTTCAGAAATCCAAAATTATAGGGCTGTATAAATCTATCAGAGCAGTGAAAACTCAGAAATTCCTCCCAGTTCTCTCACTATGGGAAGCGACGTAGCTCTGTCGATGGGGGAGTGGAGGTGCTGGTTAGAACGATCAGAGACAAAATAAACTCACATAATGAAACCAGCAGATCATTGCTACTAATAATAAATCATTAAAACAATTATTACTTAATTCTGGTTATTGAACCCATTTGTTCCTTTCTCCTGACTCCTGGATGTGCCCACTGAAGGAAGCTGCTGTAGGATCTGAAGGGGCAACCAGGCAAACCCATCTTTCCCCTCATGCCTCTCTGTAAGAGCAGCTTCTTGAAGGATTTGGGTGCTGGGACTTGTTGGGGACTGAAACCTGGGCTACATGAACTCCCACAGTCCCTACATTCTTTCATTTCTCCTAAGCAGTGGACAGACACTGACTTGTTCCTGTCCACCAGCTCTTGTCACCACTCCTCTGTTGGAGAATGGACAACAGGATGGCCATGAGCCAGCAATGGGCCCTGGGGGCCAAGAAGGCCAAGGGCATCCTGGGGGGCATCAGGAAGAGGGTGAGCAGCAGCTGGAGGGAGGTCATCCTGCCCCCCTGCTCTGCCCTGGGGAAGCCCCATCTGGAGCACTGGGACCAGTTCTGGGCCCCCCAATTCAAAAAGGACAGGGAACTGCTGGAGAGGGGACAGCAGAGGCTACAAAGATGATCAAGGGACTGGAGCATCTCTCTGCTGAGGAAAGGCTGAGGGACCTGGTCAGCCTGGAGAAGAGCAGATTGAGAGGGGATCTCATTGAAGCTGAGCAATATCTAAAGGGTGGGTGGCAAGAGGACGGGGGCAGACTCTTCTCAGTGGTGCCCAGTGACAGGACAAGAAGGAACAGGCACAAACTGGAACATCTCAAGATGAGGAGGAACTTGTTTGGTGTGAGGGTGGCAGAGCCCTGGCAGAGGCTGCCCAGAGAGGTGGTGGAGTCTCCTTCTCTGGAGACATTCCAAGCCCTCCTGGACACGTTTGGAAGTGCTGGCATGGACTGCTCTGGTGTTTCTGCTCTGAGGCTACAGCCTCCAGCACAACGAGTCCTGGAGCACCTTCTGCCAAGGCAACCGCACTCAGAGAAGTGGTCTGCAGGCTTTTATAATCAGCAAGACAGGCTTCATCATCATCAGTTATTGATTTGGCAGGGTTTAGCTACAGCTGGAGAAGTTTAAAACAGCTTCTCATTATGATGAGTGCTTTAAAAATAATGAATATTTAGATTTTTATTATTTACAAACAAGGTCATTTACATTTTGAGGTAACTGTATTTGCATGAGCATTACTTTACTAAGAGATCTTTCTGCTTCAAATCAAGATGCTGATACTGTTGGCTCCTCTCCACATTAAGTACTTCTCCTCATTAACTCAAAATCTTTACTAAATACATTTAAATGAGGAAAGAAATAACAACCCTTGCTTTAAAGGAAGCGAGAGTTCTCACTGACTTCTGTGGACCAAGATTTGGATGCAGAATTTAGCTGATGATGGCAAATTTGAAAAAAAAATCGGTTGAAAGAATGCAAGAGTGTCCTGCAACTCTGTCTTCTATAAAGTTTTTCCCAATCCTTTTTTTTATAAATTATTTATAAACAGCAACCTGTGGAAATAAATTTAAAAATATATATATTCTGAGCATCGCAACCAATATTTTAATCCTCAAGTGAAAAGTCTCCCGTGCCACAGTTTAAGAAATGATTTCCACAAATCTTTGCCTGCATATTGAATACATGCATTTAAGTACTAAAATTTCTATTTCTATTTGGTATTTGATCAAAACGGTTTTCCCCACTGTTCATTCAGTGGACAGATTCTGGGCAAAGCCACTGAACTTTTTTACAACAAGGGAATAGGAGAGAGCAAAGCAGCTTGTGGTTCTGCTACATCGATCCTTGGTATTGCTGGTATAAACCACATTTTTAATAAGACTAATATGAGCTGTACGAAACATCGTGTGAGTTTTCATCAATCAGAAAAGAAAACCTTCTGTTCCATTACTGTGGAACCTGAGAATAAAGCCAAGGGGAGAAGAATCCATCCTTATCCTAAATCCAGAGAAAAGGATTTCCACTTTTTTTTTTTGCATGTGAGATTAATGCTGACCTCTGACTAATGGGAATCAACAATACACAAGTCAATACTGTGCTAAGAAAGTCTGTTGGGTGCTTTTTCATTTCTTCTTTTGAATGCCTTTGTGTTTTTATTATCAGTTAATAAAGACAAGGCGTATATTTAAAATTTTACCAAGTCATCACAGTAGGATGCAGCTCAGTACAGTACCCTCAGCAGCAATTCCTCTTACACTGTGTCTGTGTCCCTTCCTAGTAATTTCAAATTAAACCATTACCACACCGATTTTCATGAAATTCAGATCCTGAGGAGGGGTTTTCCCTAGCCAAAAAGCAAAATTTAATCCCTACTTTCCTGTAAATACACAGGGCCTGTTGGGAGAGAAGTACGGGAACATCCGAATTCCGGGGGAAGTTGAGTCAGCAGAATTTGAAATGATCCTGGACGCGGCGGTGGAGGCCAAGCTGGAGACGAGGATTTTGGAAGAGTGGTACTGCAGGGATGAGAACGCGGTGCCACCAGCATATTACCTCAGACCCAAATCAGAAATGCTGAAGAACTACCAGAATACGGTAAGTCATAATTGCCTTCTTACCAAATTATCAGTTACGGGGGTGGGCAGTTCCCCGGGGCAGGGACTTGCTGCCACCTCTGAATTATAGAATCGTAGAGTTGTCCAGGTTCAGAGAGACCTTTCAGATCATCGAGTCCAACCATCAACCCAACACTGACAAACCCATCACTAACCCATGTCCCTCAGCACCACGTCTGCCCGGCTTTTAAATCCCTCCAGGGATGGGGACTCCACCACTGCCCTGGGCAGCCCATTCCAAGGTTTGATAACCCTTCCAGTGAAGATACTTTTCCTAATATCCATCCTAAACCTCCCCTGGTGCAACTTGAGGTCATTTCCTCTTGTCCCATCGCCTGTTCCTTTGGAGAAGAGACCAACCCCAATTAACTTCTACAGAATTAACTCCTACAGCCCTGTCCCCACCTGAGGAACTGGTGCCATGATGCTCCTTTCCCATAAGTGGGGAAGGGACCAGCCGCGAAACACCAAGGGACACGATGGCATTTGCAGAGGAAATACACATTTTCCCTTCTATCTCCAGACAAGAAAGCTCTTTAACAGTCAAACAGTGAAGTGTTTAGTGCTGTCCCGAGTCAGATCTTATACTTTTAACATACTGTCTTCTAACAGAAGATTTTTGAACACTATTAATTATCATTTTCAAAACGGACATTTGTCTTTAATTGATGACAATAAAAACTATATATTACCCAGGGCTCAGTTCTACCCCCCTAAACATCCTATATAGCCATGTACATAGGATGAACTACCTATATATGGATTTCAGAGTACAATAAATGAAGTCCTTACCAGACTATTCCCTTTGTTCAGAGCACGTGCTGTATTATACCAGAAAATTAAGTTAAACCACTATAGTGCTTTCACTGATCGTGTGGCAGAATGTTTTCCCTGTTGCATGAAACAACTAATTCTGTAGTATTCATCCCAGGGGAGAAAGCAAGTTTTGTAACCAGTTTTGCTACTGCCCACAGTATCCCTTTGAATAAAACTTGGCTTTTTTTGTTATTAAAACTTTGTACCTTTCCTCAAGCCACTGAGACACAGGAGTAAGTAAAAAGATGTTCATAACTGAACGCTCACGTAGAGTTACAACTCATAAACTTCCAGAAAGTAATAAAAGATACGCAACTCAAGGATGTGTTTCTAGGGAGCTTATCCTGGAAGATCTTCTTTTTCCTCTAACACCCTCCAGGAAAATTAGAGACCCCTTAAAGGCTTCCCCTGCTTCCCCTGAAGCTGTTCTTTTTCTTCTAAACTGGAGACCCCCTGAAGGTTTCTCCTGCAGCAGTAACACAGCAGTGACTGCCCCAGAGGAACCTCCATGGGGACATCTGTCAGATGTCATGGGAAACAATTAGTCTGTTTATATGAGAGTTCCTCCTGATGACAGTGAGATTACTGTCACCATAGCAATGAAGGAATCAAAGTAACGTCAGATATAATCCCCTATTTTTCAAATATGGTAGCTAATATGAGGTGCTTAATTACAGGAACCTCATTTTCAGTTTTGAGATCCAAGTTTAAATTATTATTATGACTTTTCATTGAAGGAGCAATGATTTCAGCAGTATTAATGCTGCTTTGTTATCATTATTTTAGGCTTGATTCTCAAAAATCTCTTTCTCTAAAGGTGTTATTGGTCTTATTCTTGAAAAATATTGCATTAGCTGCCTACAGAAGGGATTCAGAAAATACTCACAGAATCATAGAATGGTTTGGGTTGGAAAAGGCATTAAAGATCATCGAGTTCCACCCCCCTGCCCTGGGCAGGGACACCTCCCACCACACCAGGTTGCTCCAAGCCCCCTCCAACCTGGCCTTGAACCCCTCCAGGGATGGGGCAGCCACAGCTTCTCTGGCCAACCTGGGCCAGGCTCTCACCACCCTCACACCAAAGAATTTCCTTCTAGTATCTACCCAAAGTAGTTCACTTTTATAATTCTAAAAAGGAATACATTATGATTACCTGCAGTAAAAAAAGTTTAACTCCTATTTATTTATTTTTAGTCTATGTGTTTCTCTGTTACCATCTCATTTACGACCATGAATATTAGACTTTTACTTTCTGAAGCTGTAGATGTGTGTATTCCAGCTACTGTCTAACTCTGGATATTTTTAAAAGATGGAATCTTCTTCAAACCCTATGAGTGAGAACAAATGGCAAGATATATCAGAAGAGATTAAGAAGATTTTTAAGACTGCTGTGAAACTGCTGTACGAGAAAGGAAAAATGAAACACAGCCAAGCAAAAAGATACCTTTCCTCTGGTAAAGTTCAAACTAACTATTTCTAGATATTAATTTATTATCTTTTTCTATCGACCTTTCCACAAGCAGGAAAACATATTTCTGTCAGCATTTCGCATATAATTGAAGAGAAAAAAACAAAAACCCGTTGATTGTGTTTGGTCGAGACCAAAACCTGTACGAAAGGTTTTCCTTTCGTACCATCAGTGATCACCATCAGTGATTTTTCTGTGCTTTTTTGTGGTTTTCACAGAAAACAGATGCAATCATTTAAGAGGCTGCCTGCTGGGGGTTGGGGGGGGGATGTTCTTGAATTGTTTATAAAGAAAAGATAACAGAAACTCTGTGTTCTCTTTTCATCCTCAGCCATTGAAGACGAACTCGATTTTGCCTTGGGTAAACAAACCCCAGCTTTCCTAAAGAAGTGCGTTTGCTACATTCGGAAAATTGCCAACATTGAGCGTTTTGTTAAAATCCCAGAGATGGGAAAATACATGGACGTGGTCCATACAGCTGGGAAGTTTCTACGAGACCCCGAAGCGCACGAGAAACTGCTCAAGCTCAGGGATGAATTCATTCCTACCATCGTGGCGTCCTCCAACCTGAGGGTCTACACCTCGGTCACCCACTGCGACATGAAACTGGGCTACTCCCAAGAAGTGGAGAACCATTACATCGAAGGGCTTGGCAAACAGTTCTACGAAGACATGATCGACATCATCCAAGCCACCGTCCAGCAGAATTTTGACACCGAGACGGACCTTCTGTACGACGAAGTCCTCCAACACTCGTCGCTGTGTAAAACGTACTCCGCTTTTTACGAATATAGATGTGAGGCATTAAACATCGTTCACAAGTACATTCTGCCCAGCAAAATAGGGCACATTAACCCTCTCATCATATATGGAGGACCATGCACAGGGAAGACTCTTTTATTAGCCGAAGTGGCGAAGAAGGTAAAAATATATGATGAAATTCAACCAGGGCAAGTGTAGGGTGCTGCTCCTGGGGAGGAATAACCCCCTGCACCAGGACAGGTTGGGGCTGACCTGCTGGAGAGCAGCTCTGAGGAGAAAGACCGGGGAGTCCTGGTGGACAACAGGATGCCCAGGAGCCAGCAATGGGCCCTGGTGGCCAAGAAGGCCAAGGGCATCCTGGGGGGCATCAGGAAGAGGGTGACCAGCTGGGGGAGGGAGGTCATCCTGCCCCTCTGCTCTGCCCTGGGGAGGCCCCAGCTGGAGCACTGGGACCAGTTCTGGGCTCCCCAGTTCCAGAAGGACAGGGAACTGCTGGAAAGGGGACAGCAGAGGCTACAAAGATGATGAGGGGCCTGGAGCATCTCTCTGCTGAGGAAAGGCTGAGGGACTTGGGGCTGTTTAGTCTGGAGAAGAGAAGGCTGAGGGGGGATCTGATCAACACCTATAAATCCTTCAAGGGTGGGTGTCAGGAGGATGGGGCCAGGCTTTTCTCAGTGGTGCCCAGGGACAGGACAAGAGGGAACGGGCACAAACTGGAACAGGGGAAGTTCCATCTGAACATGAGGAGGAACTTGTTGGCTGTGAGGGTGGCAGAGCCCTGGCAGAGGCTGCCCAGAGAGGTGGTGGAGTCTCCTTCTCTGGAGACATTCCAACCCCCCTGGACACGTTCCTGTGGGACCTGCTGTGGGTGACCCTGCTGTGGCAGGGGGTTGGAGGAGATGATCTCCAGAGCTCCCTTCCAACCCCAACCATTCTGTGATTCTGTGATTTCGTTTAATACTTTACATAATATGGTGATGTTGGGAGCATCAGTGTGTAAGAGCCATCTTAGTTGTCATTCTTCCTTTTGTCAACAGATCTGATATCGGCCCTCAATATATAAAATAAAAATAATAGAAAGTATATTCTACATATTATTGTACATATACTCAGAAAGAGACAAGCATTTCAATAATAATGTGTCAGTGTAACATGCTTAGCCAAAACAAAAATATTTTAACAGAGCTCTTAAAAACCTAACAGGAATCAATATATTTTTGAATTAACAATGTGTATTTTAGAAGGATCTCTTTCCCTCTTGTTCCACTGAGGTCCTATGAATCTGGAACCATCTAAACATACGCTGGTTTTGGTCTTACTCACAAATAGAACATGTCTTTCCAAGTCATGCCCTCCTATGTTCTCATCGGAAATTACTCCAGAATTAGGCTGATGCACTGACTACAAATCTATTTGTAATAACCTGCAAAAATACCTGTACTTTGTTATCTGATGTATGCTGTGGAAGTCACTGAGCTGAGCACAGCCAGGAGACAGGGGACACACTCTCAAGGCAGGACCAGATGCAGAACAAGATGGAGGTGGCATCTCTAAGGCTAATTTTACAGCTGGGAGTCACAACAGTTCCCCGCAGGGTGCTCAGAGAAAGCAGCAGAGAGGGCTGGGAAACAGCCCTGTCAGCCAGGAGGAGATGGAAAAGGCAACAATAACATTTAAAATTCTGTCTCTTTCCCAAACGTGACTTCCTGTAGGTTCACAATGGTTGCCTACATGAAACTGGGATTTACGACTCGAGATAACAGAATCATAGAATTATAGAATCGTAGAATTACAGAATCATAGAATCACAGACTCATAGAATCACAGAATGGTTTGGGTGAGAAGGGACCTTAAAGATCATCAAGTTCCAACCTGAATACATCAGCTAACCTAGAGACCCTGGCTACACTTTTCTTTTAGAATATTCTGTAATAACTTAAAGTGAGGTGTAAAGACTTAGCAAGCAAGAGAATTCTATTAGCCTGCACAGACTGAGACGATTTAAAGCCACATTCCTCATTTGCAAAAAAAAGCCCAAGAAGAGATACATTTTGCCCCTTGTGGCGGTGTGAAAGAGTCCCAGGCACCCCAAAAGAGAGCCTCCTTCCATGGCCCATGAACTAAGGGACCTGCCAGCAAATCCTGACTCTCCATCCCTGTCCTCCAAACCATCAAGGCACGCACTCAGCTTGGAATCAATGGTGAAGGAGTTGAGGTGGCAAACTGGTCTGCCCGGCCAAGGGTGGCATTTCTTAGTGTCTAAGGAAGTTCATTAATGAAAGAATGTCTCTACTGACTTTCAGAAGTGGGACACAGATTTTGCAAAGAGCACCCTGGGGTTTATGGACCACGGTGTGAAAGAGTCCCAGGCACCCCAAAAGAGAGCCTCCTTCCATGGCCCATGAACTAAGGGACCTGCCAGCAAATCCTGACTCTCCATCCCTGTCCTCCAAACCATCAAGGCACGCACTCAGCTTGGAATCAATGGTGAAGGAGTTGAGGTGGCAAACTGGTCTGCCCGGCCAAGGGTGGCATTTCTTAGTGTCTAAGGAAGTTCATTAATGAAAGAATGTCTCTACTGACTTTCAGAAGTGGGACACAGATTTTGCAAAGAGCACCCTGGGGTTTATGGACTACATTCCACTCATGTCCCCTCAGATGGTAGGGTCTTAGTGTATGGAGATATTACCTGTGCTAAATAAAGATAACATACACATTCCACTCATCCCCTCAGAGGGTAGGGTCTTAGTGTTTGGGGATATTACCTGTGCTAAATAAAGATAACATATCATAAATATTCCATCCCGTTCACATCAATCAAAACAGCCTCTAACTCTGCCAGTGAGAGCATTTCCATTCAACCAGTAACATTTACAAATGTTTATTTGTCATAGAATCATAGAATTATCATATGGTTTGGGTGGGAAGGGACCTTAAAGCCCACCCAGTGCCACCCCCTGCCCTGGGCAGGGACACCTCCACCCACACCAGTGGGTTGGTTGCTCCAAGCCCCCTCCAACCTGCCCTTGAACCCCACCAGGGATGGGGCATTTACATATAGGCAATCACTAGTTATTAACTCTGCTACTGTGCTTCATTTAGATATTAATCAAATTATGCTCTGAATTCTAGGCCAGGGATGGGGCATCTACATATAGGGAATCACTACTGTGCTTCATTTAGATATTAATCAAATTATGCTCTGAATTCTAGGCCTATTCCTGGCTGCAAGAAGAGATGGGACCAGATTCTGACCCTGTGGTAGTGATAAGATTTTTGGGATCCACCGAAACCAGTACCGATCTGAAGAACATACTTCAAAGCATCTGTGAACAATTAGCAGTCAACTATCATTGCCTGGTACAAAGTTACCCCAAAAAGATTCACGACCTCCGGGACTTGTTCATCAACCTCTTGAATGAGTCTTCATTCCACAGGCCACTGGTGATAATATTTGATGCCCTAGAACAGCTCACAGATAGCGACGATGGCAGGAAGCTCTGGTGGCTTCCCGTTCACCTTCCCCGTTCCGTACGGATCATCCTGTCAACACTGCCAAACAAGCACGGGATCCTGCAAAAACTGAGGTGCCTTATCCACGAAGAAGACAACTACATTGAATTGACTGCAAGGGACAGAAAGATGTGTAGCCAAGTACTGAAACATCAGCTGCTGCGAGTGAAAAGAAAAGTAACGTCAGGGCAACAGATCTACGTCAACGAAGCCTTCTCCAAGTGCACGCTGCCCATGTTTGTGAACCTGACCTTCAGAGAGGTCAGGAACTGGAGATCTCACAAAGACGTGGACGAGTCCTCCCTCTGTGTCACCGTCCATGAAAGCATAGAGCAGTTGTTTTGGTCCCTGGAAAACAAGTGTGGGTCAAGACTCTTGTCAAGAGCACTTGGCTACATCACCATGTCCAAATCCGGCCTGAGCGAAATGGAACTGGAAGATATTTTAGCCCTTGACAACAGTGTGATGTACGAACTGGGTGAGAGCATCAGAGAGAGCAACCCACTGAGAATTCCATACATCTACATTGCGAGGCTGAAGGAGGGCTTACAGGGCTACTTGATAGAGCGACAGGTAAAAAACGTAACGCTGCTTCTTTGGGCAAACAGGCACTTGCAACTCATTGCCCAGAAACTGTACCTGCACAACGAAGAAGATCTACTTGAAATGCACACGGTCATGGCAGAGTATTTCCTTGGCGTTTGGTCAGGCGGACGAAGAAAACCTTTCTACAGCAACGACCAGTATCTGAACGGTTGTCCCGACCACGAGGGCAGAGGTCTGAACGAGGAGGACAAGCACTGCATGGATCAGACTGCTTTCGACAGGCAGGCACCTGACCAGCCCTGGGTCTTCCAGTGTAACCCGTTAGAGCCTGATATCTTTTTTATCAACCACAGGAAAATGACGGAGCTTATCCATCATTTGACGAGATGCGGAAGAACGGACGATCTGCTCTACGGGGTCATTATGAACTTCAGCTGGCTCTACACCATGATCAGGATAGGGCAGTTTGACAAAGCTCTTGCAGACATCGAACTGGCTTACACCTACTCGCAAGAAAAAGAGCTGAAATTTCTAGCCAGTACCCTCCGCAGCATAAAATTCAAAGTTGTAAAATACCCGGGTTCTCTCTCGGCTGAACTGCAGCAGAGGCTTCTCCCGGTAGTGAGCTCCTTGCCCAAACTGCGACACCTCCTCTTGGAATGCGACAAGGACGGCCCCAAATACTGCTCTATTGTCCCTTTGCACTCCTCCATGGACGTGACCTACAGCCCCGAGCGCCTGCCCCTCTCATCCAGCTGCCTGCACGTCACCGAAATCTTACCTACTTTTAATCCCAGCACCATTATTGCTGCTTTGGAAAACGGCTCCATCAGCACTTGGGACGTAGAGACGCGCCAGTTGCAGAGGCAGATCACAACAGCTCCCTCCGTTATCCTGGGCATGAAGCTCACCACCGACGAGAAGTACCTCGTAGTGGCTACAACAAACAACACCCTTTTGATATACGATAACGTCAATTCCTGTCTTCTCTCCGAGGTGGAAATTAAAGGGTCAAAACATTGCGGGACCGGGGGGGCGTCCAGTTTTATAAATGGATTTACGCTCTCGGTCAACCACGCGCTTGCGTGGCTGGAGGCCAGCAAAGATGTCACCGTGATCGATCTGCTTTACGGTTGGCCCCTCTATCACTTCCACTGCTGGTACGAAGTCACCTGCGTGCAATGTTCTCCAGACGGGGTTTACGCCTTCTGCGGCCAGTATTTGAACACCGCCACCATCTTCCACTTGGGCAGCGGGGAGAAGCTGGCCACCGTCACCTCCGAGTTCTCCAGCGGGTTCGTGAAATTCCTCCTGGTTCTGGACACGGCCCAAGAAATGGTGATGGTGGACAACGAGGGCAGCCTCTCCGTTTGGAATACGGAGGAAATCGCCAATCCCCAGCTCACGGATGACTTTGACTGCAGGAGAGAGGACAGCGAAGTCGTCAGCGTAGAGCTTTCTGAAGACCAAAGTGCAATTTTAATTTGTAAGGCTCTCAGCATTGAGCTTCTCGACACTCGTGTGTGGAAGGTGGCTGAAAAGTTTAGAGCTAAACACAACGAGCGCTTTATCTCTGCCGTGTTGTCCAAAAATGGCAACTGCATAATTGCTTCAATGGAAAATACCTCAGCCATTTTTGTTTGGAGAAGAGATACGGGACAGTGCATGGCAAGCTTACAGGAAATCTCAGGAACTATAGTCAGGCTAATTAAATCAAATCATCACAACATGCTGCTATCCTTATCCACCAGTGGTGTCCTTTCTATTTGGGATATAGACATCATAACTGCTATGTCCAATATTGACAAATCTGGGAAGCCTATCCAAAGACTGGTGTTGCCGGGCAGGGGTGAATTGATCTACACCTTGGACGGATCCGATTCTGTCCACAAGTGGAACTTCAGCACCGGCTTCATCGAAGCCGTGTTCAAGCACGAAGGTATCGTGGAAAACTGCGTGTTGACCTCTTCTGGGGAGATCATGGTTACGTCGGATGATAAATGCAGCCAGTACGTATGGCACACCGTCAGCGGCGAAAACATCTTCCGCATCAACGGGCAACGAATCTCCGAGTTGATGATCACACACAACGACCAATTCGTCGTGTCCCTCTGCGAGCAAAACGCCTCCAGGGTTTGGCGACTGGCGACGGGCCACCGGGTTTGCAATATATTAGTTGCCTTACAGAACGCGTTCATAACCACGGCCAACACCTTCGTGGTGGGAATGGCCAAGAACAAGGTGTTGGCGGTGAGCCTCTGGACGGGCAGCATCACCAAGAAGTTCTGCTGCGACGACGGCGTGAGCATCGTGGATATTAAACTGATACCAGACTGCCCAGATATTATAGTATTTATAACATCTACCGAAACGGTGAACATCTGGAGCTTGACAGAGGAGGTCATCTGCCGACGCGTACAGTTGCCCACCAATTTCTTAAAAAGTTTGGAAGATTTCGAGATATCCCCCAACGGGAAGCTGGGAATTATAACCCGGGGGGATGAAAACATCAACGTGTTGGATTTATATAGTGGGAAACTCCGCGTGGTTCATGCTCCAGGTGTCATCTGGAGGCAGAGGCTGTCTCGGGACGGCCGCTATCTCGTCTACATCTGTTTCCGCGGCGAAGAAGACGACGACAACGGGGCGGTCTCCAGTTTAATAGTGATGAGGTTGGCGGATGGCAAAAACATCGGTGCCTGTTCTCTTTATAAAACACCCACTGTCCTCGAGCTCTCGCAGAGACATCTAAATATCATTATCGGATTTGATGATGGAAGTATAGGGACTTACACCGTAGTGGATCGAGTCGATGCCGCCCTGAAAATCAAAATTGCCACTTCAAACAGCCGCCAGATCTTCAACAACGCAACGCAAGTGATCAGGCCCAAGTGTCACAATTACAGCTTCAAAGCCACCGCAGACTGCATCTGGAGGGAGTCCACCGAAGTATTTGCCAGGGACAGCCCCATCACGGTGACGGAGCCCGAGGTGAGTGAAGCCACCCCAACCAAAAAACACAACTATTGCTACGAGAAAGTGTGCTCGGCCATAGATTGCAGGGGCCACGGGTTCGCCGCCGACAACTAAGTAGCCACCTGGACTAGCTGATCTGAAAAATAGTACACAGGCGTAGATTTGTCTTCTGAATTCCCCTAAAAAATCAGTACATTTCTTGGGAGACAGACAGAAACAGCAGAGGGCAGAGCGGCCAGGTTTTTTTCCTCAACAAATATTCTTACATTTAGGTAAAAACAAAAAAACGACAACAACAACAACAACAAAAAAAAAGCAAACATAAAGCAAATGGGCTGCAGGGTTTTTTTTAAATTTTGGAATACAAGGTTCAGTCCAGGATTTCACCAGGGCCTTGATTATAAATTTCTAGCAATACTATCAGGATCGTTATGCTATGACAGGAGTTGGGTGATCTTCTCCGGGATGGATTTCACCACAGCTAAAGCTCCACAGGAGCGGTGGGAAGAGCCAAACCACTGGTTTTCACCCCGACTCCCCTACCTGGGTTTAGAGCCAAGAGCCAACTTTAGACCCACTTGCAAAAATGTGGTTTTTTTCTGCTTGATGGTGCAACGACAAGATGTCACCTGCCAACCTGAAACACTTGATACATTCCATCATCGTTTCAAAAATACCTACTTTGGTTCGGTTTGTTTTGTTGTGTTTTCTTTTTTAAATTGGGATTAATCTTTGGGTTGAAAGGAGTAGGTGCCAGTCAGCTACAAACAGGACAGGTTAACGTGTGAGCTGAGAAGTATTTGTTCACCTCAAGGAATGGACTGAAAGATTTCTTTTTCTGTTTTTGTTTTTTTTTTTTTTAATTGCATGCAGGGATTTCAGGTTTCTGTATTGTGATAAAAATGATAAAAACCTAGGTCATAAAAAGGAATATAGGGCTTGGGGGTTTATTTTTTTGGTTGGGGGAATTTTTTTCGTCTTCACAGTGTGTATTAGTACAGGTCCTAATGAAAACTTTTTCAAAGAGAAAGGGCGTTATACGGTTAAATATATTAATTTCTTTCTGTTACAAGGTTGCTATCCATTTTGTTGTAAGCAAGTCTAAAGCATCTCCTGTGTTCCCAAAGTTACTAGAAAGGTTTCAGACACGCCATGTATTAATCTTGATAACCTTTGCCTTATTATTTTTTCTGTTTTTTCCTGTCATAAATCCAGATGAGATGACCAAACACTCTGGGACTGCTTGTATATGTGCTGAAATACTCCACTAAACCTAAAGCCCCTCCAAAGGTTCTTTACTGGTCCAATTTGTAATGGGTTTTTTTCTTACTTCCCCGCACTTACAACCTTCACTTTCTGCTTTAGAACTGTCCTGAGCCTTTTGTACAGTTTTACCAGTTTCAAGGCAGAAATTGTGAAATAATGACAAAACGCTTTAAAAAAAAAAAAAAACACCTCACATTTTGACCAAGGAAAATAATAATAATTAAAAAAAAATGGACAACATCTGAAAGGATTAGAAGATCTTTTTCCCTCCTTACATAAAGCTGACACACCCGTGGAAAATTTTTCAAACTATTTCAACAAAACAATTTTATTTTTTAAAATCAGGAACCCCACGCCACAAGTTTCCAAGAAATGAATGCTAAGCTAGAACTTAATGTAGTGTGTGAATGTTCAATGTACAAGCCAATATAGTATATTAAGTGACTTGAATGATTTTTTCCTAACTTGTTTGCAACTAATAGAGCATATTGAATGTTTTTATGTAAACTTTGTATTGTTGGGAAAACCTACCCAATCAGAGATTTATATTTTCATAAATGTCAAATTTAGTTAAATTTTGTTACAGAGTTGTTAAATTAGAAATCTATTGCAGTCTTCAAACAATATACAGTCTTGTGTATGCATTGTTTGTACTAATAAACTAAGGAAACAGATTGTGTGTGTCCCTTTATTTTAGGGAAACTAAAGGGCAGAGGGACACAAGGCATTTGCAGCTGGTGTTTGTCCCTTAATTTTAGGGAAATTAAAGGGCAGAGGGACACAAGGCATTTGCAGCCCCCATTAGCCTGGAGTTAAATCATTTTTAAGGGTTATATTCATAAAGAAAAATTCCAGTATTTTTCCCACTTCAGTTAACTAAATCAAGCATCCAAAAATCAATTAAATCCACCCCAAAAAATCCATGCTTAGACACTGCTTATGACGAGATTGCATGGTGCCAGCGTGCAAGTCAACAGACACGAGGCCTTGTGTAACCTGCCCAGTAGAAAGCTCAGAAAAGAGGGGAACACCCAAAATCCCACTCCCCTTCAGGCCTTTGGAGCTACGGGAAGGGGCAGTGGGATCAACACCTCCTGGGATGCCATCCTGAAGGTAAGCAGCTTCCACCTTCTTTCAAACATTGGGCATAACTCATACTTTTCAGTCTTGAACTCCTTGTCTATAACCTGAATAACGTTGGGTTCCTAATCTCATTGAAAGATGCTGTTTAAGTCCTGTCCCTCCTCATGGTCTGTCTATGTCTTACGAGAAAAATGATCTCGCTCAGCTTTCCAGCTTTCTGAATCTCCTCCTGCTGAGCCCAAACAGCAGACACAGGTTTCTGAATGGCTTTAGGCTGCTTGGTGCCCAAATATTTGCTACTGTAAGAGTGAGCACCCCATAGCCCCTCACAAATCGCTGAGCCCAAAGAGCAGACACAGGTTTCTGAATGGCATTAGGCTGCTCGGTGCCCAAAATATTTCCTACTGCAAGAGTGAGCACCCCATAGCCCCTCACAAATCTGTCCCCGGGCACAACTATACTATATCAGCAAGTTTGCGGACGACACCAAGCTGTGTGGTGTTGTCGATACACCAGAGGGACGGGATGTCATCCAAAAAGACCTGGACAAGCTGGAGAGGTGGGCCCAGGTGAACCTCATGAGGTTCAACAAGAGCAAATGCAAGGTTCTGCACCTGGGCCGGAACAATCCTCACCATCAGTACAGGCTGGGGGGCGAGGTATTGGAAAGCAGCCCTGAGGAAAGGGACTTGGGGGTTCTGGTGGATGAGAAGCTGGACATGAGCAGGCCAGAAGAAGGCCAGTTGCATCCTGGGCTGCATCAAAAGATGCGTTGCCAGCAGGTCCAGAGAGGTGATTCTGCCACTTTGCTCTGGTGAGACCTCACCTGGAGTATTGTGTGCAGGTCTGGAGCCCTCAATATAAGAAGGACATGGACCTGATGGAGAGGGTCCAGAGGAGGGCCACAAGGATGATCAGGGGGATGGAGCACCTCTGCTACGAGGACAGGCTGAGGGAGCTGGGGTTGTTCAGCCTGGAGAAGAGGAGGCTCCGGGGAGACCTAATAGCGGCCTTCCAGTACCTGAAGGGGGCCTACAGGAAGGCTGGGGAGAACCTGTTTAGAAAGGCCTGCAGTGACAGGACGAGGGGAAATGGCTTCAAGCTGGAGGGGAACAGATTTAGACTGGAGATGAGGAGAGGGTTCTTCACTGTGAGGGTGGTGGAGCACTGGAACAGGTTGCCCAGGGAGGTGGTTGAGGCCCCATCCCTGGAGATATTCAAGGAGAGGCTCGACGAGGCCCTGGGCAACCTGGTCTAGGTGACCTTTGGAGGTCCCTTCCAGACTGGGCAATTCTATGACTCTATGATTCTATGATTCTATACCATGGTACAGGGACAAAATAATTTCTCTAATAATGACCCAAGCGCTGTTCTATCTCTGGAATAGGGCAATTATTTTGCTTTAAGGAGCACTATTCGCATCCCCAGAACAAAGCTTCCATTTATTCTTTATCTGAAGCGCATCAATAAACAGGGCTCAGGTGGGGTCTGTGTTTTCCAACACAGAACATTCTAGGAATAGGCCAGAGCTGCAGGAAAGCTTTAGCGGGGAATTAGCCGGAAATTCTTTGGCAGACAAAGGTAAGCCGGAGGTCAGCTAGAAAGAAATATTTTTATCAGCCATTTCCTCCGCGCCGCAGCTGGGGAATGCAGGGCCCGTGACTGCACTGCCTACGGCCTGTGGCCATTCCACTTTTTTGCACGTTATTAGCAGATAACATCAAAATGCGAGTTAACATGTAGCCTGGAAAAGGCACTCGGGAATTTCAAGCAAAAATCCATTGCTAAAAGGGAGGGGAGGGGGAGAGGGACAACTATTTCAGCTCCAGATCAGCTGAAAATCCTGAGATTTTGCCCTTTGTCAAAAACTTTGTTATGTGGGTCTGTGTGATACATCCTTTGGGTCCTTATCACTAGGCATTAGCAACAATCCGCATTGGTTTATTGTGTTAAGGGTTAAAAAAAAAAAACTGTTTCAACATGAATATTAAGGCTGTAAAAGAACAGAACTCTGAAATCTAGTTTTCTTTCTTCTAATTATAAAACCCAAGACATCTCATCTTTTAACACATTCTTCATGTAACCATAAAATTATCTATGTCTGTGTGATTCATCCTTTGGGTCCTTATCATGGGGCCGTTAGCAACAATCTGCATTGGTTTATTTTGTTGATTAAGGGTTAAAAAAACCTGTTTCAACATGAATATTAAGGCTGTAAAAGAATAGAACTCTGAAATCTAGTTTTCTTTCTTCTAATTATAAAACCCAAGACATCTCATCTTTTAACACATTCTTCATGTAACCATAAAATTATCTATACAAACATCCAGAGGTGGACTACAGCCTTTGGGTAGCTTTGCTTATCAAGGTTTTGTTCCTAAGAATCTCTATCAAGCCTTTATGATAAGAATATGACCTACTTCAAAGTTCTTCTGCCCCACTGCAGGTGTTACTCCATATCTCCTCCCGGAACACCACATTGCTACAGGAAGAGTAATCACCTACATTTTTCCCCCGTGGTTTCCAGCCTGGTCTCTAAACACCACTCCTTGCATTTTGAAGGTTGTCCCCTGACTCGTATGACGGGATGTGGTGATCTCAGGGTGGGTCTAAATCACAGTCTCAATTCTCAGTTTCAACAGGGAGGTCAAAGGCGGAAGGAAAAGCCATCACGATCCTTCCCAAGTGTTTCATCATGGGCTTCTCCAGAAGGGGCAGTTTGCTCCACCATCCTTCTGTGAAAAAGGGACTTCCACTTGAAAATCAGTTAGAGACAGGACCATTGCTGGTTGTGAGGGGGGCTCAGGAGGACCATATGGGCTAATCTTCCTCTTGAAATGCTGCCAAAAGTAACTACGTCAACCATGAACTACTCTAGTGGAGTCTTGAAGAGCTCCAAGGACAGAGGAGTTGCTCCTCTTGTCCCCACATGACCTTCCCAAGCTGTAATATGTTGTCATTGCCCTTATGCACAGTCTGACACTGCCACAAAGAGCTTGGGTCCATCACAGAATCATAGAATGGTTTGGGTTGGAAGGGACCTTAAAGTCCCCCCAGTCCCCCCCCCTGCCCTGGGCAGGGACACCTCCCACCACACCAGGTTGCTCCAAGCCCCCTCCAACCTGCCCTTCAACCCCTCCAGGGATGGGGCAGCCACAGCTTCTCTGGCCAACCTGGGCCAGGCTCTCACCACCCTCACACCAAAGAACTTCTTCCCCACATCTCAGCTCCATCTCCCCTCTTGCAGGGTCAAACCCTTCCCCCTCCTCCTGGGGCTCCCCTCCCTCATCCAGAGTCCCCCCCCATCTCTCCTGGAGCCCCTTGAGGGACTGGAAGGCCATTATTACCCCAGCTCATTAGCCCAACCACCACGAGGGTAATGGCAAATGCCCCCCAGCTGCAGAGCTGCCCCCAGGGCTGGCTGGGCTATGAGCCAGGCAAACAGCCCACGCAGAGGTAGCCCCCAGCAGCCCACATCTCCCACCTTCCTCTAACAAACCAGGGGGGTGTCAGCCTGATGACCAGAGCTTGCAGGAATTAAGAAAAAATAAATAAAAAATAATTAAAATAAAGGAAATATCTGCCAAAGAGCTTTGCAGAGCGTTGCAGTTCGCAGCTCCCAGGCTGTCAATGATACTTGGCCTTTAAGCTCTGACATCGCCCTCTGCTTAAAATACACATATCCAAAGCAGCTTTTATTCATTTATATTTCTTTTTGGCATTCGATACGCCAGGCCGGGGTGTGTGGTGCCACAGGGGGGAGTCTCTGCTCCCTGTCACAGGCACCCTCTTGCCCTCAGCCCACTGCTGAGATGAGTTGGAGGGTCTCAACTGTAACGGTGCAGAGAGGCGGGGGGAAGCACAAGGGGGCTTCTGGCTGCTGGAGCGGGATTTTCGGAGGACATTTTGCATGAGAAAGGCAAGCAGGACTCCAGCACCCCCTCCTATGGGTCGGGGAGGAAGGTGAGGATGTGAGGATGTAACCCCCCCGCCGGGCAACCCTAAATCCACCATTATTAAGGGTGAGGACAACACATCTACCCAAACAAGCAGCCGAACCTCATACAACCACAGGGCTTATCACCCCAAATAAACAAACAAAGGAGTCAGTAGAACATTGCCAAAGTGTTATCGAGTGGGACCCCCGGGCTGTGACACAGGATGATGCAATGGTTAGTATCAGTTTCTTTCCTAGAGGTTTTGTTGTTTGGTTTGGGTTTTTTAACAATTTCCAGGTATGTGGATTTATATATATATATATATATTTATATCTCTATATATATACATTTAAGGCAGGACTCCAGCACCCCCTCCTATGGGTCGGGGAGGAAGGTGAGGATGTGAGGATGTAACCCCCCCGCCGGGCAACCCTAAATCCACCATTATTAAGGGTGAGGACAACACATCTACCCAAACAAGCAGCCGAACCTCATACAACCACAGGGCTTATCACCCCAAATAAACAAACAAAGGAGTCAGTAGAACATTGCCAAAGTGTTATCGAGTGGGACCCCCGGGCTGTGACACAGGATGATGCAATGGTTAGTATCAGTTTCTTTCCTAGAGGTTTTGTTGTTTGGTTTGGGTTTTTTAACAATTTCCAGGTATGTGGATTTATATATATATATATATATTTATATCTCTATATATATACATTTAAGATTAAAGCTGGGATACACCCAACCCAGATCCTCGCAGGTATTGCCTTTTTATAGTATCACTTTTGGAAACACCGCAGCCCAAACCAAAATAATTCCTGGAAAAGTCAGCGATTTTCACAGGCTGGGATACACCCGACCCAGATCCTCACAGGTATTGCCTAAATTAAATCTCTCCTCCTAATTGGATTGGGGCAGCAGAATTTTTATAGTATCACTTTTGGAAACACCGCAGCCCAAACCAAAATAATTCCTGGAAAAGTCAGCGATTTTCACAGGTAAAAAGGGACACGGTGCCTGCAAATGTACCTTAAAGTAGAATTACACACACACACACACACACAGAATCACCCAAAGCAGTCTTTTATAATCTCACTTTTGGAAACACCACAGCCCAAATAAAAACAATTCCTGGAAAAGTCAGCGATTTTCACAGGTAAAAAGGGCCACGGTGCCTGCAAATGTACCTTAGAGCAGAGTTTCACACACACACACAGAATCACCCAAAGCAGTGAGGATTAAATGGCATTTCCAGGCAAAACGTAACCCAGGGACTTTCTGCCAACTCCCTCCAGCACCGGGGAGATTTAAATTTTAAGAATATGCAAATGACAGTGTTAATACACTGCCAGGCTCAGACTCTGTTGTGGTTATTGTAAGGGACTATCCTGGAGGAAAAGGAATTATTTGGCCCCTGTTCTTCCTCTTCTCCTTTTTCTAACCCCGGCCAGAAAACGCTCAGCTCTCCCAGGTTTGTAACCCAGCTTGCAGGTAAAGGGTTACAGATTCTAGGAAGTATTAAAGGCAAACTTTAAAGGATTTTTATTTTCATCTACGGTCACATGACGCCTTAATACCCAATGACACTAACTACAGCGGCTCATTAAGAGGTCATGCAAACTCCCCAGCTAAACACAGGCGTTCTCACATATTTAACATTCAAATGCAGGAGCCCAGCTAAAGCCATGGGACAGCGCAGGCAGAAAAAAGCTCCGCACAAAAGCTACAGGTAGGAAAAGTTTTTCTGCCTTTCAACTTCGTAACGTTGTGCTTTCCAGGGAGTATTTTTGCACTCTCTTGTCTTTTTTAGCTTTCAAAATAGCTGAATAGTTTTAGCCGGAAAATATCTGATCTGACTTGTTCCACCTGTTGTGGAGTCACTATTGTTTTTACACTCGGAAAGCCAGAACTCAGATATTGCCTCTTTACTCAGCAGAAACCCCTCAAAAAACTCATTTTTTCAAGCTAAATCTATTTTAAAAGTGCTATTTTACAAGATTTCACAGTTATTGAAATGGTTATTTTACAGTATGTGGGGCAAAGGGGAGGTTAATGTGTCTTTGATGTCTGAAAGGAAGGGATTTAGAACTCTTCTGACTTTACTTACACCATGAATTGCACATTGTTTCCCTCACTTCAGCCCAAGAGTACTTTAAGGGCTTCCTCACTGAACTTACACGATTGCTGATTTCCCCTCCTAGAATTTGGTGCATTTAAAAAATAAATAAATATATATATATATATATCTTACAAAAGCAAATGAAAGGCAGATGGGCAGTATTTCAGTGCTCCATAAAAGGAGAAAAAATTACAAAATAGCGAGTCAGAGGGAAGTCAGTTAAAACCCAGTCAATCAAGAATTTAAATTACATTAAAGCACATCCATTTTTACATGAAGTGATAAAGTTTCACTGACAATTGTTGGCAATATTGCAGGAGTTCTTTTTTTTTTTTTTTTATTGCTGCTGAAGGATTTCTCCAGGGCACAGCATTAGCATTTCTATCACTAAGATCTTTTTCTCGTCACCATTTTTCTTTAAACTGTAATTGTTTTCAGACAGTGTTCTAAATACTCATCATTTTAATCCCTTTAGAGGAATTTAGTTGAGAGAGTACATTCTATAGAGCTCCAGAATCTATATTTATGAAAAGATCTCTAGTGCATGGTAAGATTTCCACCCCCTGGGGATTCTCACTGCGGAAAGGCAGCAAGTGGTGTTTATTGGTTTATTCCTACAATGGTTGGGGGGTGATGGCAAGCAATTAATTTTTTCCTTCGTTTATTTGATGAAGCCCGTGGCTTTTTCTTCTTCCCACGTAACGCTGGGGGATACTAAAAAGAAGAGGAGAATAATAATACCTACAGCAACTGCCTTCAGACAAGCTCTCAATTTCCACAAAAAAAAGGGGGTTGTCATTACCAGTATTTAAAATAAATTTGAGAAAATGTGAGCCCTAACAAGTTTATGAGCCCAAAGAGTAGCGCTTCGAAAAACTAATATTGTCATTCACCTTCAGGATGCCTATCTCAAAATATAAGGATTTTATACCTTATATTACCTTATATACCTTATATATATATATATATATACCTTATATTACCTTATATATATATATATATATATTACCTTATATACCAATACCAGGACCAGGATCCTGGTATGGCCCAGTATGTGCAGTCTGACACATCAAAAAATCTTTTAATCAAATTAATTGTACTCCGAACATCCCAGCGGAGCGGCCCACAAACCACGCTGGGGGGAACGCAGCAAGAAGCCACTACCCCTTAAAAGAACTGTTCCAAATTTACTATAACTCACCTCAGAAGGTAAATTATTTACAGAAATCTATTTAGAAACTCTTGTAGATAAGGGGCTTATTTGCTCAGCTAAATCTTGGGGGAGCGAGGGGAGCGCAGCGGCTCCCAGATAAACAGCCAACCCATCACACAGGTTGTCGTTGAGGAGGAACATTGAAGGGGACGTGGTAGGAACAGCCCCCCATGGCCTGTCTCTTCTAAGAAATGTTTGTACAAATAGGGTGTGTTGTGGTAAACCAGCACTTAGCAGCTCAGTAGTTCAATTTGGTTTATAGCCGCAATTTTACACTTCTGACAGGAATTTGTACTGCTCTAATTATTGCTTTTTTCCTTCTGATTAAACCAACCAACCTATTCTCTCGCTTTGCCACATCAATATAGAGTTGTTTCATGGGGCAGGCACAGAAATCAAATACTTCCTGCTCATGAACAAGGAAAGAGAGAGGTTCTTGGAAACTGAGATGACTGGAAACCTAAGAGAGATTTTTTTCACTTGGATTTTGACACCTAAGAGAGATTTTTTTCACTTGGATTTTGAGGGAAGTCAAGCCAAGATAAAAATCAAAACACTACCTCAAGTCTGGAATAGCCTTCCCTTTACCCCAAAACCAGAGCTAAAAGACAAGCACCGGGCAAAAGCCAATCCAGATCTTCCAAAAGGCTTGCAAATCTCAGCAAATTTGTACCAGCTTTAGGGCTAACACAGAAAATCATCAACCTGATGATTTTTGCTCGAAGTAGGTGGGAAGACAAAGCAAAACCTGCAAGTGAAGGGAATTTTGGCTTCCTTGAAAAGCCCAGTTGAAAGTGGTTGCAAAGGTAAACATTTGGGAGTGCTGAGGCCCTTCTCCAAGCACACCACTGCTTGTATCTGATCTCAAGGAAATAAACTTATTTAAAGCGAGTGTTTGCTCTCAGGATTTACTGAATGAAAGCCACGGAAAGCCTTCCTTTCAGGAAGGGATGGTCTCGTGCTATGTTTGCCCAGTATCTAGTTAAACACGGCCTTAGCACTGTCTACATCTTCCACTGATACCGTTTCACAAAAGGCTTGGCTGGGGGGGGACAGGAGCCAACACACGAAACGTGATGAAATGGAGTCAGGCAATAAATACTTGTTTGGAACTTGTAATTCCTTCCTTCAGACCCCATTCATCTGAGGATCATCCATGGTCACCTCTCGGTAGAGCAGGACTGAGGGGAGACCTTATTGCTCTCTCCAACTCCCTGAAAGGAGGGTGTAGCCAGGGGGGGTCGGTCTCTTTTCTCAAGTCACAGGCGACAGGACGAGAGGAAATGGCCTCAAGTTGCACCAGGGGAGGTTCAGGCTGGATATTAGGAAAAATTTTTTCACTGAAAGGGTTCTCAGCCATTGGAATGGGCTGCCCAGGGAGGTGGTTGAGGCCCCATCCCTGGAGGTGTTCAAAAGACAGGTTGATGTAGTGCTGGGAGGTATGGTTTAGTGATGGTGATGCTCCTTGTTTGTTGTGTGGGTGTCTATTTTTGTCAGTTAGGGTGACGGTTGGACAAGATGATCTTTAAGGTCCCTTCCAACCTAGAAGATTCTGTGATTCTGTGATTCTGTGACTGTGATTTCCACCCAACAAAGCTGTGGTGGAGAAGGCCCAGGCCAAATCCCCACCGCTCCTTAACAAGGAGCACCTCATGTGCTAGAGAAATAACATCAAAACTAGAAAATTAACATCAAAACATCAGGTCCAAGCAATGATACATTGAAATTGGGGATATTTGCTGAGCTACACAAGAGGGCTGGCGAGCATTTCCACCCAACAAAGCTGTGGTGGAGAAGGCCCAGGCCAAACCCCCACCGCTCCTTAACAAGGACCACCTCGTGTGCTAGAGAAATAACATCAAAACTCGAGAATTAACATGAAAACGTCAGGTCCAAGCAATGATACATTGAGATTGGGGATGTTTGCTGAGCTACACAAGAGGGCTGGCGAGCAGGAGGTATTTGCTAAGGACCATAGGTCTACAACACGATGTAATTGTACTTCTTGCAAGTTTACTATCCAAACGGACAAAATACATGAGTTTCGGCAAAAAGGTCAAAAGGGATTATTGGGAAGGGGGAGGAAAAAAAAAGCAGCAATTTTCCTGTGAGCTCTCCTCTGAGTCACTTTCACTTAGACATATGGAGGAACTTTAAAATTTTATTAAGAGCTGAGTACATTGTTTGGAAACTAAACATTTAATCACTTACAGCAGGAACCGGGGGGGAAAAAAGCCCTAAGTTTTCTTTTTTGTCTGACATTTTTCTGTCTGCAGTTTTTATACAAGTTTATTTAACTTCCTTTTTTTTTTTTACTTTAACCACAGATGTTTGCTGCAAAGCTGCAGATGCTTTCTGGTTAGAAAAATACTTCTGGTTGAATATTCTATTATTAATTCTCAGGAGTTACTTTTCCACTTGGGCTAGCGAGGAGAACACCATCTCCTTGGGGTTTACACTTTTTGGGTGTTATCTTCTGGGCCTTGCTCAGCTTTGCATCGTTTCTCAAGTATTTAATAGAGTTGAGTATTTCTATTAAAGAGCAATTAATTGTCTGATTTTATGTAAACGTGGTCCAATGCCTTGTTATAGCAAGCAATTTGCTTTTCGGAAAGAGCTGAGGGTTGAGGACAAGAGGGTCCCATGTAAAGAACACCCCCCCAATGACTGAAAACCCTTCCAACCTGAAGTCCACCCTGGGAACTTCTTATACTGGTTCCAGAGGGAAAAGTATCAAATCCTCACACTGTCAACAGAGGCCACAAAAAAAACCAGGAGGATTCGGTCTCTTCTCTCAAGGAACAGGTGATGGGACAAGAGGAAATGGCCTCAAGTTGCACCAGGAGATGTTTAGGATGGATAGCAGGGAAAATTTCTCCACCTAAAGGGTTGTCAAGCCTTGGAATGGGCTGCCCAGGGCAGTGGTGGAGTCCCCATCCCTGGAGGGATTTAAAAGCCGGGCAGACGTGGTGCTGAGGGACATGGGTTAGTGATGGGTTTGTCAGTGTTGGGTTGATGGTTGGACTCGATGATGTGAAAGGTCCCTCCCAACCTGGATGATTCTATGATTCTCTGATGTGTGGTGGTGCCATCCAGGACACTGCTGCCAACGGGGACCACAGCGTGGCAGCTACCCAGGTTTGCCCATGCTCTCTAAAACATTTAAAACCAGATTATTTCACTTTTGCTCCATCTCCCGTGCTCAGGACAGGCAGAGCTGGGTGTTAAGGTGCTTTGCCCAGGCAGGTTGGCATTAATGTCCTCTTAAAATGCGCTCTGATTGCAGAGTCTCCGGCAGGAGAGGCAGGGAGTGTCCCAAAAATGTATGGAGCCACATTCCCACAATCCTGAGGACCTGTCAGGCTGTGGGTCTGTTCCTCCTCCCCACTGGATTGAT